GGGAAAGGGGGAGAGGTATAGAAAGGTCAAGGGGATCAAATATTTCGTGACAGAAGAAAATTTAACTTTGAGTGGTGAACACACAATGCAATATACATATGATGTATTATTGAATTATAAATTTGAAACCTATATAATTTTACAAACCAATAGCACTCCAATAAATAAAATTTTTTAAATAATTTTTTAAAAGGTAAATAGTAACATTATCAAAAATATGTTTTAAGTATGTTATCTTACTAATGCTCAAAAAATGTCACAATTTGTAGTAAGGTCCAGCTAAATTTTCATCTAGTCCCAAGACTCTTGAAGAAAAACCATAAATTAATGAGATATAATTTAACCCTGAAAATTACACTATGTAGTTTTCATTTTTAATCATTACATAACAGCAATCTGCATGGAAAATGACAGTAAGTTTGCACTAAAACAATTCTGCTTATTCTCTGTCAATATGACACTAGTCTGATTTTAATTTTTACTTCTGCAATGCCTAATGATGTTGAGCATCTTATATGCATATTTGCCATCCATATGCCTTTTTGGTGAAGTGTCTTTTAAAATCTTTTGCCTATTTTTTAATTGGGTTGTCTGTGTTCTCACCAAGGTTGGGGAATTTTTTATATGTATAGACACAAGTCCTTTATGAAATATATACTTTGCAAAAAATTTCTCCCTATCTATGGCTTGTCTTCATTCTAACAATATTATGCAAAGAACAAAAGTTATAAATTTTGATAAAGTCTAATATATCATTTTTTTGTGTATGTGAACTGTGCTTTGGGTGATATATCTAAGAAATTATTTTTTAATGCAAAGTCAGAAAGTGTTCTCCTATGTTTCCTTCTAGAAGTGCTATAGTTTGAGGTTTTACATTGAGGACTCATCCATTTTCAGTTAATTTTTTATATAAAGTGAGATATGAATACAAGTTTACTGTTTTGCATATGGATATCCAATTGTTCCAGTACTATCTGTTGAAATGACTATCTTTTCTCCACTAAATGTGTCAAATATCAGTTGTTCATATATGTGTGGGTCTATTTCTTGGCTCTCTATACTGTTCCATTGACTTATTGATCTTTCTATCTTGATTACTACGTCTTAATAAGCCTTCAAATCAGGTAGAGTTAATCCTCCAACTTTGTTTTCTTTTAAAAATTTTGGCTATTCTAGATCCTTTGCATTTCCATATGAGTTTTAAAATCAGTTTGTCAATTTCTAAACAAAAGCCTGTGTAACTGTGTTGAATCTGATATTGATCACTTGAAGGAGAATGAGCATATTAATAAACAATATTAAGTCTTCTAATTCATGGACAGAGTTTATTAATTGGGTATTCTTTAATCATTCTCAATGTTTTCTAGTTTCCCCCTCTCTCTTTAATTCCCCCCACATATACACTTCCACCCCTGACCTACGGATGTTGCTGTCTCACCTTAAAAACTGTATCTCTGAAGGCAGGGCATCTCCTCCCACACGCTCGTGGAATGCACCCAGGGCCTGGCGCACCCAGGGCCGGGCACATCCATGGTATGGTCCATGGCTCCACCTGGGGCGCAAACCCAGGACCTTCTGTGTGTAAAGCAGACGTGCTAACCACTACACTATGGAGCCATCCTGTTTTCTAGTTTTTAAGGTACAGGTTTTGGGTAGTTTTAGTAACATTCAACCTTAAGTATTTCATATTTTTGATACTGTTATAAGTGATATTTTTTAATTTCAATTTTTAACTGCTTATTAATAGTAGGGTATATGGAACTAAAACTAATTTTTATATAATGATCTTATATCCTGAAATCCCACTAAACTCCTTAATTAGTTCTAGTAACTTTTTTGTAAATTCGAAACAAGATACCACTACACACCTATTAGAATGGTTAAAATTAAGAAGATTGACTATAGCAAGTATTGACAAGGATATGGAGAAAGTGGAATTTTCATACACTACTACAAGGAATATAAAAGTTACAACTACTTTGAAAAACACCTTGGCAATTTCTTAAAAAGTTAAACATACATCTACCATATAATCTAGCCATTCCACTCCTAAGTATTTATCAGAGAAATGAAAGCACATGTTTATACAAAGACTTGTACATTAATGTTCATAGCAGCTTGATTTGTAATAGCCAAAAATTAGAAACAATACAAATGTCCATCAACAGGTGAATGAATAAACCAACAGTGAGATATCCATAAAATAGAATATTATCAGCGATAATAAAAAGGAATGAGCTATTGATACACAACATCGTGGGTGAATCTCGGGATAATTAAGCTGACTAAAAGAAGCCAAAGAAAAACACATGCAAACTACATGACGATTCTAATTATATAAAATTCTTTAAAGTGCCAAAAATCAGATCAGTAAATGCCTGAGGAGGGATTACCAAGGGCATGAGGAAACTTTGGGGGATGATAGTTATGTTCACTATCTTGATATTGGTGATAATTTCCTGTCAAAACTTACCAAACTGTACATTTTCAACATGTGCACTTGGACCTCAATTTGATAAAAAGAAAAGGTACCAGTGTGAAATCAGTATAACTAGGTACCAGAATATGCTTTCTAGATTGATACATAATTCACATACCATAAAATTCAACATTTTAAAGTACACAATTCACTGGCTTTTTTTGTATATTGATAAGGTTGTGTAACAATCACTACTATTTAATTTCAGAACATTTTCATTGCCTAAGGAGAAATCTGTACCACAGTCCTCCTAGACCCTCCGAATATATTTAATTTCTAGATGACAATTATTTTATCTGTTAAGTGCAATTCAAGCCTCAAGACCTTTCAAGTTTAAGAGATTAGTTTTAAGTAAATTTCAAGGGTCTATGGTACAAATACTGCTACTCTTCAACATTTTATTCTTTCTAATAAGAACAAGACCTACACTGATATAGACACTGATAATTTCAGAGATATTCCAATCACAGAAATACAATTTAGATACACATATAATTGTAATAGTGATACCAAATTATTACTTCTATTAAAATCTTAATTCCAAATGTAGAAACTTTACTTTCCTCTTGGCTCCTCCTTATTATCAATGCCAGGACTAGCCATGACTGAATGAAGACTGGTGAATAAAGAGATGATGCCTTCAAAATTTTTGAATAGCAAGCACATAATGTGCAAAGCTTTAAAAATTTAAATTAATACAATCCATTTTGAGATAACTCCACCATGAACTATACTTTCTCAGCAGCCTCTCACCATCATATTTATAAAACTTTGGGTAAAGCCAACACCTCACTGGAAGGATAATGGGTTTCTATTCCGCATTACCCAAACTCAAAGCATTATGATTGATACTTGTGCTAGTTTTTTAAAAAAGACATCACCATCTGCATTACAGCATCTGTTGTTTCTAGAAGAAATGATAATCATAATCAAAATCTAGCAATTTTTTATTACGGAAGAGTATCAGTGATAATAAATATATATAATAAACCATAGAATAATTTGTATCTGTTTTTACTGATTCTATTATCCCACAAGTTATTTTTAGAGCACAGAAATCAAATGTGATAAAGTGAAAAATAACAGGTGATACTAAGACTTTTACACTCTTATATTTAGCACATAGTCTAAAAAAAGTACTCAAGCATTACTGCTAAAATATTAACTTTTTATACAAAAATTCTAAGCATACTAAATCATAAGTTAGATATATTCCCAATGTTGTGCCTAAGCAATGTATTTAAGCGTTATAAATCGAAATGTGTGAAGGATATATAGTTCCTTAGCAAAAAATATGGAATAAGCATTACGGCATGACTATGTAATTAAAATAACAAAGACAGAAAAATTTTTTAAAAAACATGTAATACACATCTTTCTGGTATTATTTTGGCACAACTACTTTCAAAGCACATCACGAAGAGTAAGTAGAATCTTGGTATTTGAGAAGAATATAATCAAAGACCTTTTGAACCTATAACTGTACAAATACCACTAAATACATCCACTTCAGAAAAATTACTGGGTATCAAATGAAAAAAAGAAAACCACAAAGCCTCATTAAAATGCAGGTGTTGGTGTTCTATACACCTTCAACAGCTATTCAAATTTCTGCCTGAAAAATTATGAAATGCTTCATCGTGGACCTTACAGCTTGTTCATAGTCAAAATCATGAATGTTAAACTCTTAAATGTCAAGAGTCTACTCTAAATGTTGGAGAAAATAAGGAATGAATGAAAAAAAAAATTCGATAAATCTTCTATGCATAATGTTAACATGGGATTTATCACCTAAAAACAGCATTTCTCCTAGATATTTCTCCTAAAGAAATAAAAACTTACGTACACATTTAAAAAAAAAAAACACCTGTACACGAATGTTTATAATAGCTCTATTCATAATCACCAAAACCTGGAAACAACACAAATTTCCTTCAACCAATGAATCAATAAACAAACCTTGATACAACCATACAATGTTATTCCAACAAACACAAAGTAACAAACTACAGTACGTACAAAAACTTGGATAATTCTCAAAGGTATTATCCGAAGTAAGCCCGCTTCAAAAAGTTGTATACTTTGATTCTATTTCTGTAACATTCTCCAAAAGACAAAATTACAGTGATGTAGAACCACAAGGTGGTTGCCAGGGTTAGGGGTGGGGGGTATGCATGATCATAAAGGGAGAACATGAGGGAATTTTAGGGATGATGGAGCTACTGTGTATCACGACTGTGCTGAAGGCTACATGAATCTATACATATGTTAAAATTCACAAGTCTCTATTTTAAAAACGCCAATTTTACTATATGATAGTTTTAAAAATAAACAGCATTTCTAAGAAATCAACTAATTTTACTCAATAATTTTGAAAAATGTGACAATGTTGTAAACAGCCAATTTATTCAATAAATTTGCTCGATATCTGTCAATAGTGATAATATGACAAAAGTCAACAAATTAAGTGACTGAAAAATCTTTAAAACTCTTCTAACTTTGCAATCAAAAGAGTACTTACCAAGTTCATTGAGACTCTGAGCGGCTTTTGTTATCTCTCTACTTCCCCCTTGCAGTTGTCCTTGGAGTCTCTTACTGAGATACAAGATGCGAATTATCCTCCGAAGCAAATCACACGCAACCTGTACAAATACCACAATGTTAAAGACGTATAGTCACTCCATGAAGTTTTATTACTATCATTATGTGATTCTGTTCATTCTTTCTAGATGCCAAAGATTCATTCATGTCTTTTTTGTTTTCCACCAATCAGAAACATAATTACAAATCTTAAATAGCATCATTTTAAAATAAACTTCAATGTATCCCAGATGGAGAGAATTTTGGATTGAGGTGCTGTGAAACCCAGAGTCAATTATCCTCTGTCCTATACCAGTTTTCTTCTCTAGGCCAGTGGTTCTCAGTCTGGACTTCATAAGAAATTCAAGTAGGTAAGTTCAAAAAGTTCCAATGCCCAGGCCATAGCCCTGACAAATTAAATCAGAACCTCTAGCCTTGGAAACTAAGCATCAGTATTTTTTTTTAAATATCCTTGGGTGGTGCCAATGTGCATCCAAGGCTGACAATCACTGTGCTAGGGGCTGCCTAGCTTCCTACTACTGCCTCTTATTGTTTCCAATCCTGATTTCTCTTTTTTAAGTCCCTAGGGGACCACACTTAAAACTTCTCCCAATTTTACTACTCCTAAAAGAATAAGCATGCCCTACTTGAATTTTCCTAATTTTTTTTTAATCACTAATAATTATCCAAGCAAAAGTTATTAAAACAAATAAACTATATGCCACCTCTTATTACCTTTTTGTTACCAGATCTAATACTGGGTCTTCACCTGTCCAAAAGACTACGACGTGTATTTCAGAACACTTTCTTACTGAAGCTGGATCCAGGACAACTGCCAGAGGGAGAGTAAAGAGAAGGGAGACTGATGGAAGAGTAGATATGTAGTGACCTGCAGCATCAGCCGTGATAATGAAGAAAATAGAGACAGTCTATGCTGCTGCAGCATCACCACCATCTTTGAATGGCACTGAAGATGGCCATTCAAACATCTCCCATCTAAAGAAGAAAATCTTACCTGATGGCAATAAGAATTAAAAGCACTGGGAAGACAGGATTACTGAGGCTCCAGCTATAAACATTTTTTTTCTGAAATACACACACACACTAGAGCCAAACAGCCGTACTCATGTACCCACAACATGCACACATAATATATACACACACAAACATATAATCAAATGTACATTTACAAATATATGTAAATCAAGGGCAACCAAGTATTAAACATGTTTATCTGACTTCTTTTCTGAATAACAATAGTTTGAGGTACTTAAAATAAAAGAATGGCAAATGAGAATCTGCCCCTGGAAATTGAAATATTTGGGTATCTTTGCCTTTTAATTACATTTTATTTATTTTCTGAATAGGTAATATAATCCCATGATTCAAAATTGAAAAGATAAAAAAGATAAAAAGTAACTCTCACATCGCTATGTCCCGACTATGCACTTACCAAAAACAACCACAATTATCACTTTCTTGTCAGATGGCATTTTTAGAGGAACCATTTGGAATGTAGATCCCTAGCAATCATTCCTCCAGGACTCTAAATACTTTAGTCTAATCACCTAGAATTGTCCTGCCAGAATTCCCTGGTACCTACTCAATAGAGGATATACCCTTATACATGAAATATTTGAGTTTATTTCGAATGCTTTTATTTTTAACCATACTTTATCTGTCACCAAGTCTTATTAACTATTCTTCTGTTGCATAACCAAGTTATTTTACCTCTATTCCTACAAGCATCACCCTAATCCCAAACTTTATCACCTTCACCTTAGCACTGTGGTCTCCGGCTAGCTTTCCAGTCTCTTACTGAAATACATCCTGCCAGATTTATCTTCTTAGAAACACAGTTTTCAGCACTCCGGCCCTTTTTTTAATAAACTTCACTGTTTCTCTACTAACAGATTATGCTGAATCTTCTCAGAATAGCATTCAATAAAATCCTCAGTCAACATATCTTAGATAATCTATAAGGCATCAACTCTCACCATTTCCTAATAGTTGCCTCCACTCCAATTTCCTTTCCTTTTTTATGTTAGACTTTTACTATCAAATATTATATAACCATATTATTCAGCACTAAAAAAGAAACAAGCAAGCTATCAGGCCAGGAAAAGACACAGAGGAACCTTAAATGCATATTATTTACTGAAAGAAGCCAATCCAAAAAGGCTATATGATTCAAACTATATGACATTCTGGAAAAGACAAAACTATGGAAACAGTAAAAAGACCAGTAGTTGCCAGGTTTTGAGAGATGAATAAACAGAGAACAGGATTTTTACAGCACTGAAAAATATCCTGTATGATACTATAATGATGGGTATGTCATTATACATTTTTGTACAAACCCACAGAATGTACACAAGAGTGGACCCTAATGTAAACTATGGACTCTGAGTGACAGATATGTCATTGTAGGTTCATCAATTATAAGAAATGTACCATTCTAGTGGGGGATATGAAGGGGGAGCTATGCATGTGTGGGGGCAGGGGACATACAGGAAATCTCTGCATTTTCCTCTCAATTTTGCTGTAAACTTAAAATTGCTCTAAAAAAGCTGTATTTAAAAATAGACATAAATACTACACAGAAAATCATATACATAAATTATAGCTAAATGAACTTGGAACTACTACACTGATCAGGAGAAATAACTATGCCAGCCAACTATAGAAGCCTTCCATGCCCCTGTACTCTCCACAACAATCAAAATAAACTACTACTCTGGCTTTTGTGGCAATTGCTTCCTTTCTTTTATTTATGATTTTATTACTGAAGTGTATATGTATATAAACGCTATTTTTTAATTTTGTCTTTTTAATCTATATGGGTTCCTTCACCATTTCTTTTGTTTCTTTGCAATCTGTTGAATATATTGGATCATCTGTCCTATGATTTCCCACAAACTGGGTTTTGTTGATTGCATTCCCAGTGTAGTTCAACATGTTCCTCTGTCTTCTATATTTCCTATATATTTAGTAGTTGGATGTAGGCAGCTTCATCAGATACAGGTTTAATGTTTGGGGCAAGACCATTCATTAAGTAGTGGAGTACTGTAGCATACCTATGATTTTCTCTCTTTTAGTGCCATAAGCAGTTACTGACACAATGTCAAAATCTATTAAAACGGTAATTGCAAAATGGTGATACTCCAATTCGATCATTTTGTCTTTATTTGCTAGTATATAAAATTTCTCTGTAAAAAGAAACTTTACCTCATCTATTATTTGTTTAGCCAGTGGTACTGTTCATACAGAATACTTGATTGTTTCTCTTGGTTTATCAGTTTTCAAAATTAAAACATGCTTTCTTAATATCCACCAAAGATGAACAATTAGTGGGCTTTGTTCTGTTTTGGCTATCATTATGAAATCACAGATTTAAACATAATAAAGGATGCCAGTCCAATGTAGCACTTATCCTTATAGATGCTCACACTGTTCAAATTCTGGCCAGTGGGAGTCTCTGAGGGTGATCTACTGTACCGATTTGCCTGAGACTGAGAGATTTCTAGGGACACGGGATTTTTCAGTACTAAAACTGGGAGAGCTGGTCACTCACCCTAGAGACCCTTCAAGTTGGCTGCTGAATGCTTTAATCGCTAACTCTAGTCAGTAGTTGTTGATAGCCTCCGTGGTATAGGGTATAAAAATATTCCAGGATCATTTTATATATTTCATGTCCCAGACCTAGAATGAAAGCTTTATCAAAGAAGCCCTGGTGTCTTTTAGAAGTCAACAGCATGTTAAGACCACATTCTGGGAACTAGGTTTGCTCATTTCTGGGACTTTTCAATAGACATAGCTAGGAAATGTCAAAATTAAAATATCATATAAATATTCATTTACTTTATTCCATAAAACACATAAAACATTCTCAGATTAACATTATATATATACATATGTACAAAAATATATAAATATATGATGTATATACCATTTTAAGATAAAATAAAATGTGAGTTCATATTGATACTTCCAATTAAAAATCAAGAACACAGGGTGTTTACTTAATCTCCTAATTTATTTCTTCCACATGGACTCCTAGCTATCAAAGACATGAGATAACAGAATTAGAATAATTTAAAGTTATTCATTTGCTTTGCAGCACAATACACAGAAAACATCTTAATACAAAACCAACACTACAAACAAAAATATAATTGCTGAAGATAGTTTAGAAAAATTGTTTTGCACATGCTCTCCCCACATCTTTCTACAATGGAATTTTATTTCTTTGTCAAAACATACTGTGATTACATACTACATTCTCCTTTATATCACTCATTTAATCCTAGTTATGATATGTATCACTAGTCTTACTTTGACGTAAGTCATTTTGGTTGTCTCAGTTACAGTGTCTAACAGATTTCTAGGAAAGGTCCATGGGAACAACATTCCCTGCATTCTTACATATGGATGGCAGTCTCTATATTTTAAAATCAGTTTGGCTAGTGTATTAATTTCTATTGTTGCACAAGAAACCAGCCCGAAACTTAGTGGTTTAAAATGATTTGTTATTTCTCTCAATTTTGTGGGTCAAGAATTTAGACAGGTTTCTACTGCTTCGTGTGCTATCGCCTGGGATTACTCACTCTGCTGCTTCTCAGTTAATAAACAGGCTCATCTGGACAGTACAAGAAGCCTTCACTCAACTGTCTGGTGCCTTACTGCGTCTCTACCTGTCCTCTCCACATAGCTGGCTTGGGCTTCCTCACAGCATGGTGGTATCAAGGTATCTAGACTTCTTACATGGACACTGGCTTTCCCACAGCAGAAACGAAAGCTGTTGTGCCCCTTGAAGGCTAGGCCAAAAAATAGCACAGGACCACGTTCACCACCATGGGTTATCTGGTTTTGCTATCCTAGTTGCTCTATATGTCTTTACAGGGTTTGAAAGACACAGGTATCTTATGCTATTGTTATTTCTTCCCTCTTCCTTCCCTCCAGGTACATTCACTTGTTTGGCAGATGATTATAAAGCCGGTTAAATAACTCATCATTCCATATAACAATACAGATAAAATTATTTGATAGCATATCAACTGAA